CTAAATAAAATAGACTAAGAAGAAGAAAAAGGAAACAAAGAGTATATATATATATAGAAATATATAATATAATATAAATTGATAAGACGGAATGTAATATGAAATAATATGATGTAAGTGATGGGATGTGTAGTTGAGTAGAACGTGACTGATTAATATGTACATTAATATAGGCAGGTCAGGAATAGATATAAGTCGCATTGATACAATAGAGAAGTATACATAGATAATATAGGAGGGAAACGTGTCGTGTGATGATGTGTAGTGTGAGTGATGTGGGTGTGTGTGTGGTTGCCGTGTGTGTGTATCTATATAATCTAAATATATAAAATATAATCCCAATATTACATATATACTATAAGTATAAATACTTATATATATTAGTATATATATATATATGTGTATGTATAACGGTTATTATATATATCTAATACTAATAATGGAAGAATATATAATATATTATAATAATATATTATATATATATATATATTATATTAAATAGTAATGGGATGATGATGTGTGCTGTGTGTGTTGTGTGTGTCGTGTGATATATTGATATGTGAGTGAGTTCTGTGATTAATATGTATAGACACTGTGTGTGTGTGTGGAGTGGTTAAGTGTTGAGTATAGTTGTGTTGTGTTTTGTCCTACTGGTGTGTGTGATGTGTGTGTGAATGTGTGTGTTGTGTGCACACACAAGATAACTAACTATATATATTATAAATATATATATATATCATACTACATTATATCTATATTATTAACTGATAATAATAATTAAACAATCATATATTATATAATATATAAATATAATATAATATATATATATATATTATAATATATTAATATTAATACAAATATCTACATATATTACATATGTATATATATTATATATGTTATTAGCGTACATATATTAAATATATATAATATATAATATCATATAATATATTATAATATTATATTATATATATGTTATATATATTATTATATATTATACCATATATTATATACAAATAACATATATCATACATATATCAATACATATAACATAATCATATATAATTATCAATTATATACATATATATTATATATATTTACATATATATATCGTGTGGTAGTGTTTGTGTAGTACAATAATTGAAGTAGATTATTATATTATAATATACTACTACCATAATGTGCTGTGTGTTGTTGATGATCGTATGTAGTGACAGCACAACTATCTATCATTCATGTGTGGATTAGTGTGATGCTGGAATATAATATATACTGTAACATTAACCATATATATATATTACACTGATGATATATGAAATTAATATTTGGTTGTGTGTTGTGTGCTCAGATGTGTGTGTGTGGTTATGTGTATGTGTGTTTGTGTGTGTGATGTGTGTGTGCTGTGTAGTGTGTTGTGTGTTGTGTGTCATGTGTTCGTGTGTGTTGTGTGTTGTGTGTAGTGCAAAAATTTGTGTGGTATGTTATGATATTATTTAATAATACCAACACATTATGAGTAGTGTGTGTGGGTAATATTATATTATATATATATAGTATATAGTGAATATATAAATTAGTATATATAAATTGTTGTATAGTGTATTATATAGTATATATATATATACTAGTAGTTATTATATATTAGTATATGTATATATGTATATATATATAGTACACACACACACACACACACACACACACACACCACACACACACACAAACACACACAGCACACACACACACACACACACACACATAATTATATATATATATATATATATGAGTATATATATATTATATAATATAGATATATATTTACTAATATATTAATATATATATATATTATTTGTGTTATATATTATATATACACATATTTACATATGCATACACACACACACAATCACACACACACACACACGCCATTTACTAAGAGGTGTGTATATATTATTATATAGGTTATTAGGTATAATATATATATTGTGATATATATATACGAATATATATCTAGTCGTTAATATATAGATAACTTATATATTATATATATATTAGTATATATCATAAGTATACTATACAATATTTAACAATATGATATTATACACATATATGTAGTGATATATATATGTATATATAGAAGTTATATATGTGTATATTGTTATACGTATTGTGTGAGTTATATTATATATATATAATATATTATCGTATATTATTAAATAATACTATATATAATATATCATATGGTGTAGTATGTGGTATGTGTATTATATAACTATATATAAAACGTAATAGTTTCGGTTGTGTAAGTGAACTAATACAATCAAACCACTAAGACCGTATATATAAAAGACACATGGATTGTAATATGTATTGTGGTGTGACTATATATTATAATGCTTAGTCGTGTAGGTGTTGTGTGCTGAACATGAAAACTGTGTCATACTAATAAGCTATATACAATAAATGTAGTAGGTGTGAATTCTGTGTCTATATACATGATACCAAAATA